CTGTATTACAAAGCCACTGTTCTTAAAACAGCTTGGTACTGGCACAAGAACAGACATATAGATCAATGGAATAGAATAGAGAACCCAGAAATCGACCCAAACCACTATGCCCAATTAATATTCGACAAAGGAGGCAAGAGCATACAATGGAGTCAAGACAGTCTCTTCAATAAATGGTGTTGGGAAAATTGGACAGATACATGCAAAAAGATGAAACTAGACCACCAACTCACACCATACACAAAAATAATATATTTAAAAAAAAAAGACTTAAATATAAGATGTGAAACCATAAAAGAAGAAGAAGAAACCATAGCCACCAAAATCTCAGACATCTCTCATAGCGATATGTTTACCAATACATCTCCTAAGACAATGGAAACTAAGGAGAAAATAAACAAATGGGACTACATCAAAATAAAAAGCATCTGCACTGCAAAAGAAACTATCATCAAAATAACAAGAGAACATATTTTCCAATGATAATCTGATAAGGGGTTAATCTCCAAAATATATAGGGAACTCATACAACTTAACAATAGAAAGACAAACAATCCTATTTAAAAATTTGCAAATGACCTAAGTAGACACTTCTCCAAACTGGGCATACAGAAAGTCAAGAAACATACGAAAAAATGCTCAAAGTCATTAATCATCTCAGAGATGCAAATCGAAATGACAATGAGGTATCACCTCACACCTGTCATTATGGCTATCATCAACAAATCAATCAAAGACAACTGCTGGTGAGGCTGTGGAGAAAAGAGAACCCTAGTACACTGCTTGTGGAAATGCAGACTGGCATAGCCACTGTGGAAAACAGTATGGAGTTTCCCCATTTACCATTGCACCAAAAAAATTAAAATACCTAGGAATAAACTTAACTAAGGAGGTAAAAGACTTATATGCAAAAAACTACAGGACACTGAAAAAAGAGATAGAGGAAGACATAAACAGATGGAAGAACATACCGTGTTCATGGATTGGTAGAATCAACATCATCAAAATGTCCATACTACCCAAAGCAATCTATAAATTCAACGCACTTCCCATTAAAATACCAACGGCATACTTCACAGATCTAGAACGAACTCTCCAAAAATTCATCTGGAATAAAAAAAGACCCCGATCCTGAGAAAGAAGAACAAAGTAGGTGGGATCTCAATACCAGATATCAAGTGAAGGTGGTGGGGATGGCTTACTACCACAGCCAAGCAAATGAGAAATGCAGCCATTTCAATGGAGGTTTTTGTTTAACAGCATCTTTATTTCTCAAAACTTATCATGTCAGAAGTGGGGGTTTTAGGTATGTTTAGCCTAACTTTGGAGCCATTTCTTCTGCCTCACCTTACCATTGCTTATTTCTTTGGTAGTCAAGTAAAAATAAAGGTTGTATATAATAAAGAATTTTCTCAGTTTCCTATGGCTGTTTTCTCAGAACCATCATTTTAATTATCTAGCATCCAGTTTCCCTGGTCCTATCTATTAGTATTCATCCACTTAATGTATGTCCATAATCATTTAATAAATATTTATTGGCACATCTACTGTGTATCTGGCACTGAGGATGGGTATTAGAAGTTTCCTGGAACATCTAACCACACTATGCTAGGTGGAAATGGGGTCTTGCTACTATAGTGAAAATATAAAAAAAGCTCAATATGGTAGTCAGGGCCATGGTAAATATTGTGTTCATGTTGTGGCCCAGAGTTTTTGACAGATAAGCAACCTCAGTCTTCTGAGAAAGTAACCCCCAACTTGTTTGGAACAGTAAAATTGTTTTCTTGTGTAAGTATCTTTTAATTCTGGGAAGATTTAGAATTAAATGTGGGATGATGAAGTAAATCAAACCTACACTTTTGTGTTAGGCTTAGGTGTAATTTGTGTATTTTTGGCATCTTAAGTGTTTTTGACATTTAAAGGGATCTGGCTTAATAATAATAATAGTAATAATAGCTAACATTTATTGAGTTTCAGGATTCAGAAGTTGTTTTTTCCTTTAGTGTATGTTCTCTTTCCTCAGATTGGGAAGGATCGGCCACTGAATTTTGACCCTTGCTGCATCAGCTACTTTACTAAAGGGGAGTACATTTTACTGGGGGGGTCAGACAAGCAAGTATCCCTTTTCACCAAGGATGGAGTGCGGCTCGGGACTGTTGGGGAGCAGAACTCCTGGGTGTGGACTTGTAAAGTGAAGCCCGATTCCAACTATGTGGTAAGAAGAGGAAGTTCATTTTTATTGGGCCATTGTCTGAGTAGGAACTGAACATCAGGCCTGCTTAGCCAGTCAAATCATTGATGTTTTTTTCTGACAAATGGGAAGGTAGATTCTTTCTCCACAGAAAGCTGGGAATTGACACCTCTCTTTCCCTGCAGGTGGTAGGCTGCCAGGATGGCACCATTTCCTTCTACCAGCTTATTTTCAGCACTGTCCATGGGCTCTATAAGGACCGGTATGCATACAGGGATAGCATGACTGATGTCATCGTGCAGCACCTGATCACTGAGCAGAAAGGTAAAAGGCAGGTAGAGCCCCTTTGCCCTCTAGATACTGGGGAGAGGCATAGGTTGAGAGGACTGCTGATAGGGCAAGTGAAATGGTAGGAAATATTTCTCCTTGGTCTTTTTGAAACACGTTGGACCACTGGTTCTTGCTTTTTTTTTTTTTTTTTTTTTTTTGGGGGGGGGGGGGGGGGGGGGGAGAGGGGGTGGGGGGTGAATGGGGGGGATGAGGACACATTTGTAATACCTTAACTAATAAAAAAAGAAAACAGTATGGAGTTTCCTCAAAAAATTAGAAATGGAACTCCCATTTGACCCAGTCATCCCACTTCTAAGAATATATCCTAAGAAACATGAAACACTCGTCAGAAAGTATATATGCACCCTTATGTTCTTAGCAGCACAATTTACAATAACCAACATAATATTAACTATTATACAATGTGGTACCAGGAGTGGGATTCTAGAGGAAGTTGTTTTTAAAACCGTGTGACTGAAGATGACAAGGGTACAATATTGCAGACTGGAAAGCTGGTGACTCCTATTATTTCATCTGCAAGATAAATTGGCAAAACCACAAACTGTTAGCAATGCTGTGCAAGACAAAAAGAAAAATCAGCAATGCTGATCCTGCCTTCATCTAAAATTTTGATATTTTGTACATCCTGGATATTTTACATAAATTTTTATCTTTAAAAATATCACATTGATATTTTTTATCTTTATCTTAATTACTGAGGGGTTTTTGTGCCCCTTTAAATTTTGCATTTGAGGCAAGTGTCTCACTACCCTCACCCCAGGTTCAGCCTTGCCTATGAGGTTATACCACATGTCTTCCAAGGGCATATCAGTAAGGAAGATTCAGAATACTTATATGTATTAGCAACTTCTGACACTTTCAACAAAGTCTTACATGAGAGAAGTTAACTGCAATGGTAGCTAGCTTATCTATAGGCAGAGATGAAGGGGATAACTTTGGAAAGTGAGACTCTTTTTGCCTGTGTTCTACAATCCAAATACACTGAGAGTCATTTAGACTTTCTGAGCTGAAATGCCTACTGCTTCTACAGCCCAAACTCACAATGTCATAGGCAGTGACTTGAAAGATAGCCTGTGGCCACAAATTTTTTAAGCCACTTCCTTTAGGTTATCTCTGCTGGACAACAGGAGCCTTCACAGCAGCAACGTCAAATTGAGGTTTTTATCTTCCCACTTAAATCACCAGATGGCCTCAAGAAAGCCACCATCATATTGAAAGAAAAGTAGACGGGCAGAGCACAGAGGCTGTTAATTCAGTCTTCAGTTTCAAAACTTTATCTAGACAGATTTTCATTTGTGGTTATTTGCACAAGAAACTGACTAAAGTCAAATAGATGGAAAGCTTAAACTTTTGAGGATATTAAATTACTAAGAAAACTGGCCAGAAATAGCCTGAATTGCTCAATTTTTAGCAGCTCTCAAAAACCAAAATCTGGCCTACCTGGAAGTGTGTCAATCCGTGAAAAGGAACATTCTCCAGTGACCCCTTCTGAGGCAGCCAAAAAAAGACAACATGCAAAATAGCACTCCATCTCCTCCCTTCCCAAGAGGGCAGATCCAGGGAGCACAGAGTGCAATGAACACATGTTCACACCCAGAGAGCAGAATCTTGGTTGAAGGGGGCAATTCTTCTCTACACTACTTAGGGTATCTTCTTGAAAATATAATAGGTTTTCATATAGGAGGTCCAAACTTTCATTTTATAATGCAAGGTCATGAATCTTCTCTGATCCTTGGCCATGAAATACCTCCAAAATGAGCTTCCAAGTCCCTCTTGAGGGGTACTGGAAACAATCACAGCAGATAAGAAAAGGTTTAATTGTTCTTTCTCCTACTTTTTATACAAAAGTCTGAACTTCAATCTAGACTTTGTAGACACTTTTATTCTACCTGTCATGCATGTAATTAATTAATGTTTACTCAGTGTTAAACTGTGTTCTCTCTTCTGTATTGCAATGGGAGGTTGTTGACTGGATTATTTTATGTCCCCCACAGGGGCTGTTAGATGGGCTAATCAGGAAACATATCCTCCTGATAGAAGAGAATTCTCCTACTCTGTCTCCAGAGATTGATATGGATGCTTCCTATTTTCCCTTAACTGGGTTTTTTAACTGGAATTTTTATTGTGATTACCCTGTTCTTACCCAACATTATATATCAGATGTGTTGGGGGAGATAGTTTGCCTTTTGCACCCAGGTCACCAGAACATGAGGCACTTATCTGTACTGGAGAAAAAGGCTGTGTGTGGCCCAGAGATGCTGGACTTTGAACTATGCTTTAAAATATTTGTATTTAAGTATGTTTTATTTTAAAAGGTTTCATTTTTATTTAAGTATGGCAAGGCCTCCAGATCAGGAGACCACTGTCTTTGAAAAACAGGTTGTTACTCACAGATCCCAAGAGGAGAGAAAACACCAGTCACAGGAGGCCACACAGGGAAGCTCCAGGGTCAGCCGGGAAGTAGAAGTGGGAACTGTCGGCAAAGGCCTCTATTGCAGTTTCTGTGGGAAGGATCAGGCAGGGCGGGGTGAGCAGTCTCATGACTGGCTAGTTTGAATAATTCAGCAGGCTTTGGGGCATAGGGGCTATCCCTGGTTGCCTGTTACCTAGCCCTGGGGTGCTCAGACCAGGTGGACAGTGGTCTTGAGTGTGGACACCCAACAAGGGAAGTGTTGGGGTGGATCAGTCAGTTTGCATGTGAAAGGCACAATGTAAGTAAATTGCTCGCTGTCTCTAGGAATTGGCTAACCCTGGAAGGGTCAGGCCCTCCAGGGTCAGCAAGGACCCTGATGTCAAAGCATCAGAATATAGACAATAAAAGACATAGTTAATATAAACTGGCACACAATGTACGGGAATCTGGTGTTTGTTTGCTTGCCTTTCTACAGGGGAAGACTGGGTGCATGTGAGTGGTGAGGAAGCCAAGGTGATGGAGCTGTTGCAATTGATCCTAATATATACACTCCCCTTCTTTTGTAGTAATATAATTTTTTGCTAGGCACAGAGTCACTCAAAATCTGTATTTTTTCAGGTTCCTTTTCAGCTAGGTTTAGTTATGAACTAAAATTAGCCAATAGGATGTAAGCATGTTATGTAGCAGTTTCTAGGAAACTTCTTTAAGGTACACTAATGTTCATCCTGTGCTGCATTTTCTTCTACTTTTCTTTTTCTTGCTGGCTGGAATGCAGATATGGTAAATTGACCTGGGGCATACATCTTGGCTCATAAGATAGATACCACACATTTAGGATGATAGAACCACAAAATAATAGGGGCCTTCTTTTTTGATGACCATGGACCCTGGGCTGCTTTTATAAAAATACTAGAGGCCCAGTACATGAAATTCATGCACTGGAGGGGTGTCCCTCAGCCCAGCCTGCACCCTCTCCAATCTGGGACCCCTC